CAAACTTGAAGATCAAAAGCCGCAATTATACCGACATGACTAGAGAGTTAAAACCCAGAAGTAGAAGAACAATAAGGCAATGTACCTTCAGCACTTGAAACGCAGCAACAAAGCCCTAGATTCTGGCGTGAGGGGATACAAGTTAAATTCCGCGGAAAAAATCGAAGGACGAATTTCTAAAATTCGCTCCCCATCAGCTTTCTTAGGGAGAGATTTCAAGTACAGAGTTCACTGCTTTAAATTTATCTTGGAACCGTGAAATGATCAAAAAATAGATAAATACTAAAGTAATGCGTTTACACTTTACATACAGAGCTCATTTGGATGCACCTGCAGCAAGCCAGATAGTAAACACCTAAAATAATTGAGTTTAACATAAGAAAAGGCTGATATTTAGATTCTAAAAACCAATAATACAGCACAAACAATAAAGTGTATATTGATACTTGGTCAAACTTTGCAATATATTACATGATAATTTTTGCACCAAAAAAAAATATTACATGATAATTTCTCCAAAAATATGGTGATTTTCATATAGATGCTTTCATGAATAGTGTTCATGTCATGTTCAACATGAATTTAAAAATTTTGAATTTTGACCTCAATTATGGAACACATTGTATAAATGTGAATTATACATATGAAAGTTGATAAGAATATACCTATTAGCCCCTTGAATCTTCTATCTTGTTATGGATTACTAGTATGTAACCCGTGCGATGCACGGGCTAGTCATGTTTCGAAAAATTTAAAAAATTAAAAGGTCATTAATTAATAAGTTATTATAATACGTATGACATTCATAAAGTAAACATAAAATCGTCATTGGTAAAAGGTTATACATTATTAAAAACCTCCTTATATACAACGTTATTAGTTTGATTACTGGGTAACTCATCGTCCCCACAAACTAATATTTTCAACCTCTTCCTATTAGTAACACGTGAAACAGCGACGTATAACTGGCTATGACTAAAAACAGGTTTTTTCAAAAACAGTCCAACATGTGATAAAGACTGACCCTGACTCTTGTTTATGGTCATCGCATAGGAAACCATAAGGGGAAATTGCCTCCGTTGGAACTTAAACGGAACCCTAACATCAGAAGGAGTTATGTTCATCCGAGGAATCAACACCTTCTCACCTGCGTGATCTCCAGTCAATATCCTACATTCAATAACATGCGGAGAGAGCTTCGTAACAACCAAACATGTGTCATTACACAGACCCATAGAATGGTCCATGTTTCGCAACAACATGACCGAAGTTTCTATCTTCAAATGCAACTCATGGTTCGGCGTTCCTGAACATTTAATGCTATTCAAGAACTCGGGTGTGTGGAGATCAACCAAAAAGCCATTGCCGGAATCCGAGTTAGACGTACTGTCAGAGCTCAAATATGTACGACCTTCAGCAGAATTCATATCCGACATGTATTGATTGATAGACTCAACGACCTCCAAAGTAGGCGCTAATATAGCTTTGTCCTTTAAATAACTTGGATCGTCAGTTGCATTTTTGAACATATAAATCATTAATCGAAATGAATGAGAGACGTCATCTCACGATAACAAATATAATAACACTAAAATTCATAACTCAACGACATGGAATGACAATAAAACATAATAAAATTAATAAAACAATAAATATATTACAAATAACAACCTTGAAGGACATGGAATAACAATGAAATTCATAATGTAAATTGGAATTCTTATCAAACCCTAAAATATCATAAATATCTTACGCTCCTTACTAATGTTGAGGGAAAATCCCACCATATTTGATAACACGAGTTCTTTTGTGAAGCACAAGTTTCCATATGTTGGTTATGATATCTTTCTTCTCATGATTAAATTCAACGACATAGTTGTTGATTGCATACGCCTCGCCTTCGTTAAGTACACCTCGAAATACACCCATATTTGTAGAACGTATTATGCCTTTAATAAATGTACCCTACAAAATAAATTTATAAATATTAATTAAAATATTTTTTTCACAAAAAAAATAAATTATTCGGAATGCTAATAAAAATAAATTTATAAATTTGATATTACTAATAAAAATATTTACCTGTTCATCATGATACAGTATATGAAATGTGTTCCAGCTCTCTCGTTCGTGATGCGTTTTAAATATTCGGACTGCTTTCAATCGCAAATAAGGTTTGCTTGTCCTACTCACGGAATTGAGCGTATCCCAGACCGGTGGCATGATATTATTGTTGTATTCTAAGATTTATCTGTATAACTTGTTTTCTCTAAACGCTGTGAATGACGTGAAGAAATAATTGTGGTAGTGAATATCCTTTTATATATGTTGGTACCGAAAAACTGATCCTGTCGTTGAGGATTTCTCCAATAGTACAAAAAGAAATGCCCCTTAATGGTGAGGTAACACGTTCTTGCCTCGGACCAGAGTTCGCAGGAACTACACCCTGAGCTACTTTGATGA